TTTTTTTTTCTTTTCTTTTTTTTTTTTTCTTTTTATATAAAATTGGAATGTCTGACACTTAAAGACCTAAACTTTAAGGTCTTTACAAGCTTACACACTTACCTTTATTAAACCATCCAGAAATAATGGTACAAATAATAAATGAAATAGTTTGGTAATTAGATATGTTTGATATCTTCACTGAGACTGAACATACAGGCCACGCCTCCTTCACTGTATCTGACACACACAGGCCACGCCTCCTTCACTGTATCTGACACACACGGGCCACGCCTCCTTCACTGTATCTGACACACACGGGCCACGCCTCCTTCACTGTATCTGACACACACGGGCCACGCCTCCTTCACTGTATCTGACACACACAGGCCACGCCTCCTTCACTGTATCTGACACACACAGGCCACGCCTCCTTCACTGTATCTGACACACACGGGCCACGTCTCTTTCACACAGACTTTCTGTCTCTTTCTTTTTGCAGTGCCAGAACCCACTCACACAATTCTGTATTATGCTAATATCCCAAGGACACATTTTTCAAAATTAATAAATTAGTAAATTATCAAAAATAAATTTGAAGACATAGAAATTGAAAAAGGTTACAACTTCAGCACACAAAATGTGTGTGTGTGTGTGTGTGAGAAAGAGAGACAGACGGAAAGAAGAGGAAGTATGAGCTTTGTCTCCACCCCACTTCTCTCTCTCTCTCTCTCTCGCACGCGCGCGAGTGTGCAACGGTATTGCAGTGTGTCGGAGTGTGTCATGTTGCGTTGCAGGTGATGTGGACGGTGAGACAGGTGACATGGCAAGGCTGCACACACACCTGGCCAGGTAGGTTTCACTGCTTATACTCTGATCCTCTGTAAGTGTGTGATCTGTGTGTAACTTCAGTGCTGAGTGTGTGTGTGTGTGTGTGTGTGTGTAAAAACAACTAATTCTACATGAAATACAATGCATTACAGTGCAAAGTGATTACTGACAACTTCCTGTCTTTAACAAAGTTTCTCAAAGTTCAGTTCAGTTCAGCTCTGTACTGTCAAGTGCAAAAGTAAAAAAAAAAAATACAAGAAGTTACAAATGAACTGTGGCTCGATTCTGCAACAAGTGTGTGAGGTATGTGTGTGTGTGTATTATAATGGAGACGTCAAGAAAAGCACGCGTGTGTGTGTGTGTGTGTGTGTGTGTGTGAACGATAGAGAGACAGTGGGTGCGATGTGGGAAAACATTCCTGCAATGATGCAAAATCTGTTAAGAGGATGTGAAAGATGTCAGAGGTAAAGTTATAGTTATTTGAGAAAATTTATACTACACTCAGGAAGGGGGCACAAACTTTCAATCTCATTTATAATCGAATATCATTTACACTATTTGACTGTTTTGTTACTTGTCCCCGAGTCCATGAAAACATTTCTGTTGGCCTACTGATTGCTGAATAAGGGATTAAAATGTCAGAGTGTGAGCGCCGCTACGAAGCTCGTCTAGAATCCACCAGCAGAAGGACTGCAGATTCATGGGGTCGCTACACATACGGTAGCGGCGATGACAAAATATAAACAGACAAATCATCTTCTTACCTCAAGCTTACTTTGGGTTTATGAGAGCTTGTTTTCTACACGAGCTGATTTCCAGATCACGCTAATGGCGTAAGCAGAGCGTAGTCGTTTTCTTTAACCGCAGGACCTTTATTGTATAATCTGACATGGAGAACACACGCTATCGCACAGTCTGTTAATTCAGCCAAGATTTCATTGGACTCTCGTACAGTATGATGAACAATAATCTTAAAAGAGCACTGAAATGAAAGGAAAGATGGATTAAGGTGTTCTCTAGAATAGACCGGAATCCAATCTGAGATGCATTTTAGTCGCATTTAGCCAAATCTCTCCAAACCACACTGGAGTACATCAGGGGATTGTCTCCTCTAGGCCTGTAATAAAAACTCTCACATGCAGATGGTTAAACGAACACGGTCCGAGCAAAGTACACACGCTATTACTGCGTCGCCAGAGAAAGTAGACTGAGACGAATGCAAGTTTGTATTTAATGAAGTGCTAGCAGATAAATCCAATTTGTTATGCAAAGTTGAAAACAGAACAGCCAATGTTCAGGCGATCAACAAACAGCATAAACAGGGCAAATCCAAAAAAAAAAAAACAGTCAGGGAATCGAAGGCTTCGTAAGTCAGGTGTGTACTCAGAGTCTCACCTCACAGTTAGGCAGGCTCCAAAGTCTGTTTATAAAGTGTCAAGTCAAGTGGAGTTTATTGTCATTCAGCCATATACAGCCAGTTAGTACAGAGTGAAACGAAACACCGTTTCTCCAGGACCAAGGTGCTGCATAAGACAATCACAGAACAACACAGAACTACAAGGGACTACATACATTTATACATAAATTTATACAAACATGTGCAGACAGCACAAGACAGAACACTGACTACTGGGACAGACAAAGGGCGCAGTAAGTCCCAGTGCAGCACCAACCAGCACACAGATTTATTAGAAAGTGAATCCAGTGACAGTAGTGCAAAGAGTACAGTATAAGTTGCTGAAATAGTGTAAACATAAGAGGTAGCAGCCTCTGTACAGTATAATAAATATTGTGTGTGTGATTGAAAACAGATGAGTGCAATCAGAAGTCTGGTGACTGAACACATGAGAGTTCGTGAGTTATGGGAAGTGTAGTCCAGGGCACCCATGTCTGTAGGCCATAGTGCATTCTGGGAAACTGAGTTCGCCTGACAGAGATCCGCCCCGTCCCAAGCCCTTTCCGGAGGGCTCACTCCAGGAGCACTGTTCTTTCTGGACCTCCCCCTCGTACAGGGCCCAGGGCATTCAGGCTGTCTGGCATGGAGCTCTTGGCACAGGCTGGGGTCAAAGATGCTATGAGCTGGGATCCATACCCAGGGGAACAGAGGGGGCTGGTACCCAAGCACATACTGGAAGGGGGTTAAATGAGTAGCTGAGCGTCTTAAAGAATTCTGGGCCCAATCATCCTGGTTTTCAGCACAAAAGGTCCTTAGGAAACGGCTGATTTCCTGGTTGGCCCTCTCCACCTGCCCGTTGGTCTGTGGATGGTAGCCTGCGATCAGACTGACTGTCTCACCCAGTTCTTCCATGAAGCCCATACTTGACGTGAACTGGGATCCTCTGTTGCTGATGAGGTCCTCTGGAATCCCAAGGTAGTAGAATACATGATTAAACAGGAGCTCTGCTGTGGCGAAGGCTGTGGGCAGGCCGGGCAACAGAATGAGGCGTAGCAATTTTGAGAAACGGTCAAAGATAACCAGGATGACAGTGTGACTGGGCGATTCTGGGAGGTCTGTGATGAAATCAGCAGCAGGGTGGGACCGGAGCTGCTGTGGTGTGGGCACAAGTTTACTGGCTGGCAGGGTTCGAGCAGCCTTGGCTTGAACGCAGACAGTACATGAAGAGATGGTTCGGTGTACGTCAGCGTGCATGTTGGGCCACCATTTTTCCCGTAGCAGACGGTATGTACGCTGCATACCTGGGTGGCCCAAGACAGATGCAAGTGCAGTTAGTATTTAATGCAGGGCATTAGGCAAAGTCCAAAACAGAGAACAGCCAATGGTCAGGCGATCAACAAACAGCATAAACAGGGCAAATCCAAAAACCAGGAGACAATCAGGATCACAACCGGAATAACAAACACAGAATCAAAGGCTTGGTGTGTCAGATGTGTACTCTAAGTGTTACTTCCCAATTAGGCAAGCTCCAAAGTCTGTTTATAAAGTGTGTGTGTGTGTGTGTGTGTGTGTGTGTGTGATTGGAAACAGGTGAGTGCAATCAGAAGTCCAAAGATTGTGAACGTGTGAGAGTTCGTGAGTTATGGGAAGTGTAGTCCGGGGCGGCCATGTCTGTAGGCTGCGGTGCGTTCTGGGAAACTGAACTCGCTACTGGAGTTGACCTGACATGTGTCATAAATTTATTTATAAATTTCTATTAAAATAAGATAAAATTCATGATATTGCAGCATGTTTGAGTATAAAACGAGGCTTTAAACCTTCTGTAGCTGGCATTCTAATGGCCAATTTAATCAGCCTGTAGGATTGTGTCAATTAATCTGCAGTTTAATTTACTCAAGACACAATGCAGGAGATGTATAATAAATCAAATCAATTTTTTTTAAAAACGCTTCTACTTCCAGAGTCATTAGTGAAAGTGTGTGTGGATTTAAACAAAATCCTACCTTTTCAGTGCTTAACAGAAATTAATAAAAGTGCTTTCGAAACAAATCCATCGCGCGAGATATTTTTTTCCTGCTTGATTCCTGATCCACAGCATTTTTCAAAAGAAAACCACGGCCGTTCCTCTGTATTAAACTCAGTATAAAACCGTGTTTAAACAGTGTCCAGTGAGTATGAGAAAGTTAAAAAGAAACACACACAATATTATTTTCAAAGATCTTTCACAAGATTGTCTGTGTAACACCACTGAAAATGAAAAAAAACACAGGAAATCAAGTGAGTGCTGAAGTTCGAGAGCTGCATATTACACCATTATACATTCCCACATTTCGTAGGAACTGAAACGGACTTTGTTGGGATTTTAGGTCATGAATCTCCACACAATAGATCATGATACAGACGTGCTGGGAAAATCAATACAGTTTACAAAATGATTAACAAAATAAAATAATTAAATGTTGTGATTTTTGCATAAGTATTCACCCCTGTTCAATTCAATTCAATTTTATGTATATAGCGCGTTTAACAATGGACATTGTCACAAAGCAGCTTTACAGAAATACTGTATATATATTAAAGATATAAATTTTAAATTTATACCTATGAAGTTGTCCCTAATGAGCAAGCCAGGGGCACTGGTTGTTGTTCCTCTTTCAGCTGCTCCCGTTAGGGGTCGCCACAGCGGATCATTGGTCCGCTATTTGATTTGGCACAGTTTTTATGCCAGATGCCCTTCCTGACGCAACCCTCCCCAATTTTATGCGGGCTTAGGACCGGCACGGAGAGCGCACTGTTCCCTGGGTGGGAATCGAACCCAGGCTGCAGTAGTAAGAGCGCTGTGGCCTAACCACTAATCCTCCAGGGACCCTAAGCCAGAGGCAACAGTGGTAAGGGAAAAACTCCCTGAGACTTCATGAGGAAGAAACCTTGAGAGGAACCAGCCTCATCTGAGTGACCCCGGATAGTGCGATTATAAATAAATCCCTTCTATAACTGTGTACTCTGTGGTCAAAAAGTGCAATTGTGTAACCAGGAAAATTAATTATAGTTTTCATATTAAGTCAATTTTGTTGAAGTTTGTTGAGACTTCAGTGCAAGAGCAGTGCAGAGCATACTAACCCCTGCTGCTTGGTATGAAACCCTTAAATTAGTTCTGGACCAATCTGATGCCATCAGAAGTCACGTAGAACCCAGAATTTGTTACCTAAACAAACCGCATCAAGAAGCCTATGGAGCAATTAAAACAGAACCGGGACAAAGTTCTCGATCAGGGTTTGGCAATAAAATGTCACTGCACATGAGTCACATCTATGTGTTTATTACAGATGATTAGAACTCCGTTTAATAACAAGACCCTGGTGTGCACATACACTGCGCTTTTTAATTGATGTTTATGAGGACAGAGTTCAGAAATACGCTGTGTTTGTGTTTGAACGCACAAAGTCAATATCACACGATGTGGCTGTGTGTTGGTAAGACGTTTTCAGAGAGTTTGATTATTTTATCACCAACAGGAAGTAACAAGCAGCCATGAGGAACTAATGCCTCATACATCACTGTGTAACAGAGGACTGAGAACACAGGCTGTTAGTCACACAATTATCAGGTCAAATAAAAAAAAAGTAAATAAACACAGGATGTGCTGCTGTTAAATTTAGACACCGAGTGACGGAGTTACTGTTACCATAATGTTATTCTCCTATAGCAGCACGTCCCCAAGTGTTTTACTCGAGTCAAGTCAAGTGAGTTTTTATTGTCATTCCTCTATGCCTTGGAACGAAAATGTCGTTTCTTCAGGACCATGACGCAACGCAGAACAGTACGCAAGACGCGGGTTAAACAAGAACCGGAGAAAGAACATCCTCAGTCAGGTATTAGAAAGCTGAACATCTCATTTAAAGGCTTCATACATCACAAAAGTACAAGAAGTGTAGGACATTCAAATGACAAAGATGCAAATGCTTAGAGTTCGTCTGAGAGGACGAGAGACAAAAAGAAGAAAACTCGAGCTGTCGCACAGATTTTACAGCAGGGAATAAAGTAAATGTTTCAACGCGTTGTTAGTTCACTCGCTTCCCTCTGGGGTTCTCTTATATAAGTAAAGTGTAGCTGATATTATTGCTTGTTCACATTTATACAACATTTATAGTCATATCAGGTGTAAGGATGCAGCCTCTCTCTCTCTCTCTCTCTCTCTCTCTCTGCAGTTCTGTTTCATGGTTTTATATTCTAGTGTTTGATTATCTGACTTGATTTCAAGCTCAACTTGTTTTTTTTTTCCTTTTGTTGTTTTTATTTTGGTTAAATTGTTTTTCAAACCAACTTTAACCTCCGAAACTCTAACTCTAAACTCTAACTCCACTAGTTCAACCTCTCCACCTCTCACTCTAATCCAAGAAAAGGTTTCTCTTTGATATCTCAGGATATTTAATGTTGATGATTTCATCATTTAGGTATCTACTTTGACACAATCGTTTCTCCTAATCCTCCTCATATTCCTTATGAGAAACTGAATGAGTCAGAAAACACACACCTGGAAAGTTGATAATTAACGTGTAACAAAAACGTTTCTGTCGTTTGGCCGAAGGAGTTTCAGTAAAAGGAAGTTAAAAGAGTTTTTAATTCAAATGAAATTGAAATCTATGCCCAAATACAAGTTGAAATTCTTGATAATTAGCATGTAACATGTCAGGATAATGTTCCTGGATTAAAACTTGTTCATATAAAAACATAAATAATGAGGAAAATATACATATTAGTAGAGCTGAGTAAGCTAAAAATAGTTTAGAGTGTAGAATAGTTGACTCCTAGTGTACTTTTCCTTTAGGTATTTCCTTTAAATGTGAGATTACTGTTGTGTTCTGTCTGTGGAGAAAAAGCTGAGAAACAGCAGACTTAAACAGACGCCTTTTATTTCCATCTGAAAATATACTAATTCTGTTTCTATGGAAACTACGGAGATAATAAGGAGATCTCTTTCTAGTCCTATACACCTATGGGATTAGTGTTGGTTTTATTATTATTTCATGTAGTTGCTGCATGTAAGTGTAAGTGAGACCAAAGCTTGAGAATAAAAGTGGCTTTTACTATAAGTTAGCGATATAGCATTACACAATCATTAAGTGATAAAACCTCATGAGCTAGCGGTCACAGGCTAACAACCAGAGCTAAGCGTTGGAAAAAAACAAACAAACAAACTGGTTACCATTAGCACAACGCTGTTATAACTATGCTAGGTAGCAAAGTTTCAACACGCAAACAGACAAAGCAATGAGATAATACGGTTAGCATAACATCCTAAAACTAGTGGATAGAAGCAGTGATCGACAGATGGAACCAGCTTCCATATCCTTTAAAATTAATGATTGATAAAATTCTCCCAGTGAAGGTAATTCAGCTCGGGTCTGACGTGAGGAACTGCCAACGGAAACCTGTTTTCAGAGCGTATGACATGTTGACTATGTGTATTTAAATGATGAATAAACATGGGAGGGAACCAGATTTGTAAAAACAAGTGAGCCAGTGTGTCTGTTTACGCCTGTATCGTGACGTTCATTGAACTCTACAGCAGAATGACTGAAGTGGTGTGTAGAGAATTTACACAGTGATCTAAGACTAAGGCGGGCGACAAGAGAAAACAGGATTGATTCCTATAAAGGAAACCTAATTTCACCTTCGCTTTAGACACGAGTATTTCACATCGAGATTTAAACGACCATTTGTGATCTGCATATGAATATCCAGATGCTTATAGCAAGCACTTATTTAAACTAATACCGCAAAATTAAAACTGTTGTAGAGTTGGATAAAAGAGGATAATGGTGTATATAAAGTTTGTTTTTACATTTTTACACTGGCTTTTGTGGTAAAAGAAGGAAAGTCTAGGAATGAAAATGTCATCTAGGCTACGGTGAGCTAGCGTCCAACCAGTCTTTTCATTGTTTTGTGTTTGACAACACACCCTTTATAATCATTAGCAGTTTGAGTGTGTACCTAGTGTGTGTGTGTGTGTGTGTGTGTGTGTGAGAGAGAGAGAGAGAGAGAGAGAGAGGAGAGCTTTTGTATGTACTGAGACATTTGAGAATTAGCAGTGCGTAGGACCTTAGGAAGAAAAGCGTCATTGTAGCCAATGACTAAATACACACACACACACACACACACACACACACACACACACAAACACACACACACACACAACTTGTCCATTACTCTAGGTGATTGTTCTGTTAATTATAAATATATTATTGACTTTCACAATAAATTCATACTAGTTTTTTTAGTCAGTTTTATTTATTTATTTATTTTTATCAGTTTATAGTTACATTTAATGTCCACAAAAAACAAATTAGATCTCACTCACGTTACAGCAGCTATAAAGAGTCGTTCCCTCACCAGCCTCTGTTTATTCACTTTCTTGAATTTAATAAGACAAAAAAAACACAGCTTGCCGTGTTACTGACTGTATTATTTAGGTCAGGTTTTAATCAAATAAACACGAAAGAAAACAAAGGAGTGCACACTTTTGCACTCCGCTGTACATTATTCAGATCGTATGAGCTGATTTTAGGTGTGTTATAGCAGAAGGGATGCTAAAAAGAACAGAGTAGAGCTCCAGCGCTTAGATATAGCAACATTAGCAATCAACCCATTACATCATTAAGAAGTGCCTCAGAATGGGCAAGACAGCAAAACAGGCTCTCCCCTGTCAATCACAGTGGCACTATCCAATCATGGGCATCTGTGAGCTGATGCATGAGGAAGAGGGCAGATAGCTCTTTCCTCCGAGTGTGTTACATCGGCCCGTGATGCAGCATGAGCAGCAGTTTGAAAAGATGCATTTGGCTTGCTTCACGTGTCCTGGAGGAAGCTCATGTTAGCCTTCATCCTGCCGGGCTGGTATCTGTCGGAGACCTAACTGGTGGGTGGGAATTGGCCAAGAATAAATTAGGGAGACAATCAGTGGGGAAAAATAGTGCCTTAATAGTGTTAATCAAGGTATCAGGACCAGAGAAGTGGTATTCGCAGCCTAGTCACATTTGTTCCCATGGCTATAAAACACACAGGCATCCTGTTTTCTTTCCTGGTCATGAAATAACCTGATGTGTGTTAATGGGGAAATTGGATTAGAGGCTAAACAGTGTTACTGTGGTAATGTCAGAATGCGGTGGTGTGAGACGAGTGCAGCGGTGTGAGACAATGTCATACTGCAGGGCAAAGTTTCATTCGATTATCGGGCTGAGTGAGAGCTCGGTGTCCAGTAACCGGCGCGAGCAGGAAGAAATACCGAGCTGAAAACTCTGTAAAACTCTGCTCAGGAGAGGTGTGTGTGCTGTTGGTTTGGATTTTTGGTGTTTTTTTTGTGTTTTCACATGTTTTACAGGCAACATACATGATAAAGAGGTGGGAAGTGTACTAATGTCTAATGTCTTGTTTGTGATTTCTCTCTCTCTCTCTCTCTCTCTCTCTCTCTCTCAGGATGAAAGTGAGAAGGCAGCGGCACTTACTGCTCTGCACAGCCGGCGTTTGTTTGCTGTCTCTGTTGTACTGCTATAAAACTCTCCATCAGGAAGCTCTGCTGCAGAGACTGTCCACTTACCACTTACGACTGGTGGGATTCAGCGGTTTAATCTGGCAAGACACACTGACTGCACCCCTCCTCTCTGACACATATAAGCAGAAGGTAATATGGCAAAAATTGGGTTTGCTGTAAGAAAAGGGTATATTTACCTTTCCAGAATCAGAACAACCATGCACTGCTCAAAACTCTCAGAAATACAGGAACTGCACTGTCCTTTTCATTGTTGCTGGTCAGGTACCATCAAAGGTATACCTTTGTATCTTTAGTATACTTCATTTACCTTTAAA